ATTTTCGAGGAAAAAAAATCTTGTTTTATAAAGATACCTTTTAACGCTGCAAAATAAAAATCCTCACCTCGGTCCAATTTCTTCAAGTTGCTCTTACTTCGAAAGACTACTCTTCTTTTCAACACGATATAGATTGTAGCTGATAATACACATAGCGTTACATTTTTACATTTTTAATGAGAATCTTTAATGAATGTAATATCGGTGGTGATAAAGAATGTGAAGGAAAGTCTCGATTTATTTTTTATTACGAAGATAACGCTGCAAAATAAAAATCCTCACCGATCAAATTTCTTCAAAAAACCCCCCTCCCGAAGGGGGAAATTTCACGTTAAGCTGAGATATTCAACATTGATGACAACGATGATTGCAGTTATGCTAAATCTTTAAATTATAGCAAGGGAAAAGGTCGGTCCCACGTTCACGTTCAAAACGGCTGGGATTTTGCGTGACACACGTGTGAGTCTAACGAACCGTAAATTCGAATAACTGGCGCGGAGGAGGGTGACACAAAAAAAAAGAAACAAAAAATATGAGGAAGATATATATCGGACGGAATGGAATAGCGAACGCGCGCGCGGTGTTCTCGGTTCTCCGGAAGATGGAACTTACGGGGTAGCCGATGCGATGGACGTGCGGGATGGACGGTACACACACACACATGTCCGGGACATCATTTCGAACGGGCGGACGATTGGGGCGATGACCGCGTTTTCTTCGACAGGTCGCACCTTATACGTTCGAAGCGTCGAAGCGCATCACACATCCGGCCGGCCCCGAACCGCGCGAGGGTTGATTGACCGCCGGTGGCACAGAGAGCGCAGTGCACTATCGATTATACGTCTGGTAGCGGCAGCACGTGGTGCCTGCCTTCGACTAGGCCAGTGTGCGCGCGGCCCTACGCCCTATCGCGCGGGGGGCACCAGCCGTTCGCTCGGCGCATGTTTATCGGTGCTTTTACGGGGCCGATAAGGATCCCGCCGCCGCACCGCGCCGCGCCGCCAGGCGTTCGCGTTCCAGGAACAACCGCGTCCCGACGAGACGCTGCACTGCCGCGGCTGTCAGCCGCACATCCCGGGGGGCATGTCCCGCAGAATTCCGTATTTTCCGCCGGCGGCGAAATATCGCCGCCGCGTTGTGCTTTAAATCGTGGAAAATTATCACCGTTGATAATCGTGGAGTCAAGGGATGGAATTTCTTTATATAGCCCATCTTTTCTTTTCTCTCTTTCTTATATCGTTATTTACATTTTGTGTATAATCCTTCTTTTTTTAATAAATAAGACAAATATCGTTAATGTTATAGAAATATGCTGTTGGGCGAAATTTACTCGGTACGTCGATCACGTTTATCGTGGTGGGATTTAACTTCCAAAGATAAAAAAGAATTATGTGTTCTGAATCTGTCGTTCTAGCGACGCGGTGACGTTCAATCGCGAATGTATTGTATCTTTTTTTTATGTAAAATATATTATTTTTTAAGTACTTTTAACTACTTCTTAACTCATAAAATATTGAAAATTTTTATAAAAGTTATGCTTTTCATAAATACATATTGAATGGATTAAACGATTAAAGATCTAATAAGATTGAAAATCTTGCTTACAAGTTAATTTATTTCATCGCTCATTATAAACGTTATTATCCAAGTCACTATGCAGATAGATAAAAAAATATAGTCAATCACGGGGGATTAGAACACGTGTGAGATGAAGAAGTCAGAACAATCGTGATACTCTCGACTCGCAAGATTAATCAACGAAAAATTTAAAAACGCGAAGTTGCTTTTTCCCCAACGGTTGTAAATCAGTCAATTATGGAAACATATCGTTCGCTTAACGGAACTTATCTTAAAGAAAGTTTATAATTTATCGGGGTTAACACTAACCGACGTTGTTACAGTCGCTAAACCGGCGGCGACTTTAAATCATCCGGAATCTTGCATGCGCGAAGAAAATGAATTCGCTGCAGTCACGCGAATCGCCGTTACATGCCGAGATCAGCCGAATGAGTTACTATTTCTTTCGCGGAATAAATCAGCCTGTGCAAAAATTAGCCACCATTAAAATGAGCAAGATACAAATATATATTTCTTTTTATATGTACGTTCGCGATTATAATTATAATTCCGTTATACTTGCGCGCTCCACGCCCTTCCGATGTAAATTGCCTGCAATTATACCAGCAGGTTTTATTCAGATCCCTATTTCTTGCAAGTTATTCACGTCATTCGTATTACAGAAAAAAAAGAAGTGTCAAATCAACACTCCATATGCTTGTATATACGCAAGAATATATAATCTTGAAATAAGATTATATTGCGTTGGTTCAACTATATATAATTCTTCGTTTAATACTAATTTTCTTCGTTTAACGCAATATAATCTTATTTCAAGATTATATATTCTTGCGTATATACAAGCATATCGAGTGTTGATTTGACACTTCTTTTTTTTTCATACGCAGACGCGTATGAATGACGTTTGTTCCTTTGAAGTCTCGGTTTCTCGGTTACTCACATCGATGTAATGGGCAATGGCTCTACAATAGCCGTAAAAGTACGCAGTAAGACGTGAGCAGTAAACTATTGACCAACCACAATCGATTATTCTTGAATGGTAAAAATCCCATTAGTCAACAGCTTACTGTTTACCTCTTACTGCATACTGTTGCGGCTATTGTAGACGAGCCATAAAGACTGCATGAACACACTCTTCCGTCGTTCACTAAATAAAATAAATTCAAATTAATCTTATACATTCGAAAGAAAAAGAAACACAATAGAAGAATCTAACAAACGAAGAATCAGACATTGACACGACCGATATAATCGATGCCGATCTTTAATGGTTTAATATATTTCGAGCGTTTTGTGATACTAATTATAAGGCTATTCGATGAGAAATGATAGCGATTATATATGACGTGTAACGCTTATCGATTCGCGCAGTTAAAGTTAGAAGCATCGAAGAAGTAAAGGCAATAAAGTTGAGGCTTCGTCGAACAACACAGGTGTTGGCAATAATCTTTTTATTTATTAAGAAAAGTCTCCCTGTTATATTAGCGTCGTTGAGTAAGTACCGTGTCAGTTTCGCGCGAGGATAAACATATCTCGGCGTAGTTTGTGTTCTCGCATAATTCCGCACGCGCGTAGCAAAATAAATCGGATATCTTCTTTCTCTCTTTCTTCATTTTTTTTCTTCTGTACGAAATTGTCGTTGCGGCGAGTCGCCTTCTGGACGAGTCGTTTATCCAAGGCGCTTTACAAGGATGCCGTCATGTAAATATCGTACAATTAAATACATCGAGGATAAATAGGTCGTCGTTCCATATCCGTACGGGGGTATTTTTTTTTTTTTTTTTTAAGAGGCTTACATCCGAACGGGGAGCGTGACTAATGTTTGCAATTATATTAGAATGGCAAGAAAAGCCGCATTCACAAACCGCCTTACACGCTAATATTTATAATATAATTCATCACAGCAATAAACAAAATATACGTGTGCGCATGTGGATGTACAAAACTCGTGAGTTATCATCTCATGTCGACTCATATCTTTCTCCCTTTTTCTCTCTCTCTCTCTCGCTCTTTTCTCGCGCATCCGTCTTTCACGCGAGTGTTTCTCGACCACCGCGCAGTTGCTCGTTTCCACGCCTTACAAGTTACAGCTTACTTTAGAAGTATTAAAGTTACATCGTGTAATATCTGTTTCCGGAATTCAATACAGCCGCATCGACTACATGAAGAGGGGAATATCATCGCGTTGTTCACGCTGTCGTGACGTTGAGGTGACAATTTAAATTCGTTAATATACGCACGCACGGTGTGTAGCAGTCGAATTTTGCCAAAGGAAATCGTGCACGAAGACGCTCTGGGATGGAAAGTAACCGACCGTTCATATACTTTTGTGATTCGCATAAGGCATTAGAAATTGTATATTTAAGACAGGAATACGCAACTCTGGCGGCCCGCGGGCCGGATCCGGCTTTCAATCCGGCCTGCGACGTCCAAGCTTGATCCGCAAAAAAATAAAAAATAAACTAAATTATTAGCGCATAGCGTCAAACTGTTTTATGTAACACGTGCATGGAAAGTGGCCCATTATGCACGCTACGCGTGCGTGATAGACCACTTTCCACGCACTTGCAACATAAAATAGGGTGTGCAAGCCGTGCGTAAAGATGAAAATTTCCGGGTGCGGTGACCGCACTCGCCTTCGGCTCGTGCGTCAACTCCGCACCCGTGAATTTTCATCTTACAGCACTTATTACACAAATAACTATTTTTACATTTATCAATGATGCGATATTGCGACTGGAGTCCTGAGGTTTCGAGAACGCACATAACTTCTCATCAACCGCACTTGTTCGCGAATAAGTTATCAAAATCTCGATCTCAGTGATATTAATAAAAAAAAAACATAAAAGAAAACGAAAAAAAGTAAAAAAGTTAAAAAAGGATTCGACTTTGCCTTACCTCCACGTGGTGATTTCTGGGTAATGCAAAGAAGGCAAAAAATATAAGTTCTAAATTTAGCTGCTGCGGCCCGCGGTATAACTACAAATTTCACATTTGGCCCGCCAAAAAATCTAGTTGCGTTTCCCTGATTTAAGGCATCGGTTGTCGTTTCTGTTTTCGCATTCAAACGCGCGTAAAGTAACAAGGCCTGTACTATATCGCAACTATCAGATCTCGCCTCAAATTAACGTATAAAAACGATATACGTATAATATAATAGAGCACTAACGCTGATAATATCGGTAATGACGCTAAAAATAATGGCGATGAACTAGGCGTCTAAAATCGAGAAATTGCTTCCTGCTTTCGAAGATGACGCTAACGATAACGCTACCTATAATGCGGTAGTTACAAAACCTACGTAAAATATATTCGTACGTATATGACTAACGTTTTCGCTTAGCGTGTGAGAGTTTCCGTGTGTGCGGGGGGGTAGGATATCGCGACAGGTCGTCCTATCTGTACAAAAATAAGAATCTGTCTTCGTTATTTAAATGCTCAAATATTTAATAATTCGAATCCATACACTTTCGCTCGTCAACAAATCTCCTGAATTCCGGAACAGTCCATTATTTAGAAAATATATATGATATATACAATAAAAAAATGCCTTTAGAGCTCAGTTTCGTTCGTTTTTCTTTTTTTCTCTCTCTCTCTTTTGGCTGTCATCATTTGCGCCTAGATGTGATGGATATCACAGAGTTAATGGATGTAGATCCGACTAAAATGTAGTAATAGAATGTGTGTCCGCGTAGATATATGTTCCTCTACTCGCTGCCCTTTTTTTATATCGTTCCCCTTAATTACGCGAGCACGTGGCATAATGTATGCAAGTACGTGTCCGTGTGTGTACATATGTATGACATACACACACATGTATGATCAATAAAACTTTGTATATGTACATCTTTCGGTGTGTGTCGTTTGAGAAAAATATAAAACCATTGAGGTTCGCGTGATGGACCGTATTCTCGTTTCCCCTTCCCCGTTCGTGATATCGTTTAGGCTTATTACGCTATTATCTCTACTTGATACTCGAATCGGTACAAATTTCGTGGACGTACGCGTCTCAGGATGCGTTCTAGTTGATGCTCCCGAATGCTTCTGCCATCTACGCTTCCGCGAAGCTGGGCCGTTTAGCCCTAACGTTGCCAAACGTTACGCGAATCAGACTAGCATCTTTAAATCTTAATGTTTTAGTCGCATTATTTCTCCAATCGAAGTGTTGGGAACAAAAGTCCATGGCATTTTAATAACGTTTAACTGCTACTAAAATGAGTATTCCGAAACATCAAATAAATCGCATCCTCGCGATGAAGTTCTTGCACCACCCGAGTCTGTATATTGAAGTACATTATACGGAATGTAGAGACACGATGATACACAAATAACGTTACTCAGGAGTCAATCGGCGGACCGTAAGTATCTTCATTAGTCGTTACGCTATCTTAATTCATGAAAATGTAGAAGAAAAAAAGCATGCGAAGTACACAAGTCCCAATCGCCAGTATTTGTACAGCGCGCACAGATCTCGCGCTAGAGATCACGCGCGTATCAGGCTGCCGAAAAAAATGTATCACCCGGTGTCCAGAGGAAATCCCCTCATCGTGACATACATATTCAGCGTGCATAAATCGAAACGTGCTAATACCGCGCATCCGAATTCGATACACACATCGAATTGTGTATATCATCGATGATGATAATGAGATGCGTGATCAATATCTATTCCGACATCCACTAACTCTATGCTAGAGATGCAAAAGCACTATTCACGCGCAACTAGTACAAGTCTTAATGCGTCCGCAGATGTACCACACTCGCTCGTTAAGCCCATCGAAAAGCTTTGTTATACCGCTTGATAACATTGATTAATGACATCGACCGATGTACAGTGTTATACGATAACTTTATAAACGTAACAGTAATTTTTGTCTTTAATTTTCCTAAAAGCATATTCAAATTATTAATCTTCAAAAGCTACTAATTTTTAGAGCCGAGAGTAATTTTTAGTAATTTTTGAAGAAAAAGGAATTATGGGAAACTTATCTCTTCCCTGTTCTATGTAACTTTAAAAAATTGGCATATTTTAATAAAATAATTCCATGTATCTCTTAACAAAGCTGAAAGTTTAAAACTTAAATTTTCCATGTAGTGCCATCTCCGGTAAATTTCATATTCATAATTCATATAAATTAAAAAAAATTATAAGATATTTTTGATCAATCCGAGGATATATGGGTCAGTATGCTGCTGCTGGGCCGCGTTATGCGAATCGTTACTCAAGATCGGAAAAATCATGTTGCCATCCAGGCGCAACTGATGCGACAGCAATTGTAATTGCCCCCGTAATTGCTGTGCGGAAATACTGACGAATGGCACTGACCGCTGTACGACCGTCACAGCGTCCTGTAGACTCACACCGTTTGATGAGGACGCCGATTAAATGGCGGCCGTAAACGGGGTGGGATGTATCTGGCTCTCTCATCCTCTGGCGTGATACCAACGAGCTGACGTGCCTACTTCTCTCCGACGGAATCCCGCGTACGTAGTGACCGCCGTTGTACTGCTCGACAATGAAATGTTCCGGGAAACTTTGAAGAAATTCCACTATATTGGAATAACCGAATCGACGATACGGTATACGGGTCTTCTCCTCATTATAATAGTCTCTCTCTAGAAGCTGTGGCGCCTTTCCGGGAGACCAATAACGCCAGGATAAGCTGGCGGATCTCGTCAAGTTTCTGGTTGTTCATCTTTGAAATCTCTGGCAACGTATCTCTTCATGAAAATGAACAATTTCACGTGTCGAGTCTTCGCCCTGCCGCGGTTGCCGGTCGCGCAATCACCGTATATCCTCGGATCTCGATCTCAATCTGCTGATCTTTATCTTTGAATTTATTTTGGCTTACGAACTTATATGTATATAGCAATAACACGTAGCACGAGTGTCGTACTCTCGCGGATCTTCTACTGCGAGGCCGGTCTCGAGAATATACTTGAAAACGCACGCATTCCCAGTGACAAAATGCAATATCGTGAGCGGTATACTTGTTATACTCTTTTAGAAACAGTCTTTATACAATATCTCAATTATATTATGTACAATTGTATATATACTAGCTAAAAGAGATAAAACTATAATGTGCTATATATTACGTTAGATCTGAGTACGAATTCAACCTGTCGAACTGTTAATTACATAGCAATATCCCAATCTTTACTCGAAAATAATCCAATTGAAATCTCGATTACTTATACCCTGGTCGTATTTACAGTAGCGCGATGGTACTTAATAATGTACATGAGTCTTCGAGTTTAAATACTCAGAAGTGGTCGTGATTCGAGGCTGTCGCGTTAATTACATTATACACCTTCGTAATTTCAAAAGTATTATATTGGGACTAGGTAGTATTTCAAATACACGTATGTGGCGCGAATATTTAAGATACGAAATACTATTTCGTTATCTTACAGCCTGAAGCAGATTTTTTCAAGAATATCATTTGTATTTTTTTTAACCACATTTTTCAACAGTATTTTATATTTGAAATATATAGTTTTTATAGAATATTTTTGTATTTGAAATACATATCTATGGAGTCTTTGCCTAGTCCTGAATATATCTCGACTCTCTTTTGCATAAAAAATTAAATAAAAAACAATATAAACAATAAAAAATTATCCACGATTGTATTAATCGACAATTCAGACAGTACGTATATAGCTAATAAACGTTATATCGGAAATGCTAGTAATCTAGAGTTTGGTCACTCGTTTAGAATACTAGTCTGCGGTAAATTACAATAAGTATTGTATGTATAAAAAAATAATTTGCGAACGTGTATAAATCGTTCCATTTTCAATTGGGAACTATCGTAATCACTGATTTACGTAATTAGGCTTTCAACGAAATGGAAATTAATATTGTCGGTAATAGTTATTTAGCTGCACATTTCCCACCTCTTACTTACGTATTGACAGCTCATCGATCGGTCACAATAGCTATCAAACTGTTTGAGCTATATACACTTCCAGAAACACGCAATACCTGAGAATTCGTGCTGGAAATTACAGTACTTTGACAGTCTTACATAATAGCTGCAGATCATCTCGAAAGTAATACGCGTAGCGTATTAATAGCGGCATAAGCTGCTATGTGTAAGATAAACAGAAGCTGCGACAACGATGGGGCAGATGCTGCGCTTGAAGCCTTCATTAAGTCCTCACACACTCCTGTAACAGAATGCAAATGTTGAATATTTATACCGTGCTTACTTAGCATGTATTTAAACCTAACATAGTGTAATACATCCTGAAACTAGGGCGAACTATAACAAAGTAATTATCTCGTTATGTCAACGATTATATGTTATTCTAATAAGATACTGTCCGCGATTATTTTAAATATTATTATTCGTCATCTAATTAGTTTTTGCAATATTAAACATCTTTTTCTATTTGTGATAATATTTTCGTTGAATCACACCCAACATTATTACAAATGTATAAATTCTTATAACGAGCTTTTTCCTTTCCAATTTTCTTTATGCGAAATTATTTGTAATTTTTCGATTATTTTTAATTGCAAGAAAAGTGATATTTTCATCTACGTAATTACCTTGATTTGACAGTCTATACGTCCATTCATCCTTAGCTTCTCTTTGACAAGTACGCGATGGCCTCGATAGCCATAACTCTTTTTCCTGTGGCTTCTGCCTACCGCCTCTATCTCTAACGCCTTCGAGAAGCATGGAAAAACAGAACGTTTGTCCCGAACTGCCTGGAATTTCGGGATTCCGTTGCGACGCTATCGTATACCACATTCCTTTCTCTTCCCAGCTGCCGTGACAAAAATAGGCTGCCAAAATATATCGTGTTTTTAATTGCTTTTGATCTTTATATACGTCTTTTCTTATAAATTCTAAAAAGTAACAAATGTTTATTCGTACTTACCAATCTTCTCATGTTCGCACGTGTTGCCGATTATTATTTCGGCTTGATCGGACGAAGTGCAGCCTACTTGAATATCCGTATTTCTGCATTCCACGTCCTCGATGTTGTCCTGCCAAGTCCGCCTCTTGGTCGTCCTCGACAGCTCGCTACGTTGCTGCCGTCTCGGTACAGCGGCTGACAACGCATGCGACTGAGCAAAATCCAGAATCTCGTATCGTCCTGAATTAGGACATCTTCTCTGATGCAAGTACGTGGCTGTAGAACGAAAATAAACATGATTTGCATACGTTTTTGCTGCTCGCCCACTAACCCGCGATACCATAACGAAGCGCACAGGTGTCCTATATCAATATTTATGAGCGACGACGCAACATGGATTAGCACTTACTTATTAAGGTCGTATACGGCATCGTGGAGGGATCCGAGATTGAGCACGCCTCCTCCGGCATAATCGCTTTTTGATCTGCAATAAGAGAAGAAGAAAAACCGTTTCATATGTATTGCGTAAACGAAAATCTGCTGTTTACGTCGGTTTTTAATGCCGCGCACCAAAGTGTACTCACCTGACTGCTGTATCTCGATGATATGACTGTCTCTTTTGTGAAATATCATGCAAACATAACCAATGTCGCTGCAATCATAAGTAAGAATAGATTCCAACAACTGTGATGTACATACACTATAAATCACAAGAGACTTGAGAAATCACTCACCAGCCACTGGTGACATGAGCAACCAGTTTCACTTTGTTATCGTTCGGGTATACCTTCTCCAAATTGTGACAAACGATTTTTTCCTCGTGGATGGTTTCGCCGTCAGTATTCTGCGCTTGCATCTTTACTCTCAGTGTGGCGTTCTTGTTTGTAAAGTGATAGCTTTTCGTGCCATTGAGAGAGTGCCAGTCATGGTGTTGAGTTACCCAGGCCGGATATTTGCATCTACTGTGCTCTTTGTCGACTGTTAACAAAAAGAATAATGCGTAAATACAAAAGATGCCATATCATTTTTGATCTTGAAAGACATTTTGTTCGAACAATTACCTTTAATAAGTTTTATGGTAGGTGAACCTTCAGAAACTGTGGTTAGGCCGTTGCAAGTCGGGTCGCCGGACTGTGCAAGTAAATAAATCATCTTCCCCTGATGATGAGACTTTTCTTCGTATAGGAAACACCTATCGAACGGAAAACATTATTCGACAATGCTCTTGAATTTTTCAACAATTTTTCTTATTTTTTTCGTTTGTTAGTTGTCGCGTTTCCATCAACGTACATATATCTATATACATATACGCTTCATGGAGAGGACAGGAAGCTATAATAATGATAATGACGGTTATGTGAAAGATGACAAATGAGCGGTTAACCATCTTTTCACCTTACCAAGTCCCCGACTAGTCTTTTTACGCCATATAAACACCACGATACGAAATGTGACATGCCGAAACCGCAATGCACGAACATCTGGTGTACAGGTGCAATGGACATAAATAACCAACTTGATGCGCGCATTATAAGCATACCGCAACAAAATCGCAACAAAAGCCGTTGCCGTCACGGACTTTGAATAATACGTTATATTGAAATAACATGTTTCACCTGTAAGTTTTTCCGTCACCCAATGCGCTCCTCTCTTTCAAGGTTCCCACAAGATATTTATTTCGACCATCGTTCCAAATGGCAAGGCATTGTAACTCCTCGGCTGCAAATAATCAAATATACAAAAACTTTATATGTATATTTTATTTAAAAAACTAAAATAATTTTAAGATAGTATAAAATACATATTTTAAATACATATATCTTCGAATATTTAATTATATACAGATTTTAATTATTTTAGTAGAGAACATAATAAAAATGTTATTGTTCGTATCGCGTAAAACTAAAACATGTATATAAAATCTATAACAGAGTCAAATTAATATAAATTAAATCAAGTATTGTTTTACGGACGTTACTTTTACAATAATACACATTTATCAAAATTAAGAAAAACGCTCTCAATATAAACAATCACTTAATAATAAGGCAAATACGAAAATTAGACCTAAACATCTAATTTTTAGACCTCATTCTTTATTTGTATTTATTCGAGTTTATTACGTCATGGTCGCTACATATGCGTTTCTCACAACTTGTTCCAAAATCTTAAATTTATTTATGTATCACACTGACGAGGGTCTAAAAGTTAGAGTCTGTATTTTGTATGTTCGTATTAAAGATTTAATTTTTATATTGTATATATATATACTCACTTTAATACCAGCGTTTCGTTCTTATTTGCCTTATTATTAATTAATACACATTCATATTTTTACTCGTGATTCTATTAAACTCTAGATAACTGCAACATTAATTGTGAATGTTACTCGCAATCGAAAGGAGTGAAGTTGAAACAGTAAGTTGAAGTATTTCATACACGTGCTGTAGAAGTACGACAGTGATACATTAAGCATGGCAAACTAAGTCGATTCAACGCGGACAATATTTTTACGACGGTCAACTTACTGTTGCTCTCGGTCCCCGTAACGTCGGGACAGGCCTGGTACTTGAGGAGGAGCTTGCTCTCGTCGGTGCACTTCTCCGCGAGACTTATAGGCATAGCACACTCGCCGTAACCCCGATTGTACGTGAATGTGAACGACGCTCCGCTGAATGGGCAAGATATCGGTTTCGAGTTCACACGGAACATCGAATAGAGCGGATCGTCCGAGGAAATCATCGTGCACATCTCTTCCAAACTCTTTCGCTCCAGGCTGCACCAACCTGAGAAAATAATTGTCGGGTCAGCTTCTAACGAAGTCCCTTCTTGAATCGCGCTTAAAATTTTATACTCAATCCTCAACATTGGTGAATTCAGATATAACGAACGTACCTTCGCGATACTGAATAACATTCTCATGGCGTCCGTTGATGATCATACAATGAAAACAATTTTCGCCACTGAAACTATAAGTAATAAAATTTTCATTATCAATCGCAAATCGAGTAGTTTGTCGTGGGATGTGGATCACGATGATTTAACATCCCTTTCGATTTAGACGAGCAGATACTTACTAAACGACGTATTTGTCGTCTGTCCTTTCGATGCATGCTCGCTCCCCGAGAACGGTCGTGTTTATAAAGACTGAAGGCTTTCCATACTGATACCATTCTCCCGACCAACTCGATGGAAACTCGCAAGATCCTGAAACGTAAGGAACCTCTTAATACACTTTGCAAGGACGAGTATCCTAATTTGAAAAAAAATGAGTTCTAATGTATCCTAGTTAATAATTCTCACGCAGTTACAAATCAAACCATCGATAGGATGCAGATTGCGCTCAACTTTGATGATGGATTTTTTTTTATTAATTGAAAATTTGTAATCAAAATCGTATTCTTCTCAGCGAAAGAAGATTTCAGATCTAAACATATGATTTTTCTAAAATAAGTGCGCTTTACATGTTAAAATTCTACTAAACTAAAAGAATTAATTTTTATATTGTAGCACATATCATCTTTCTATATTATTTATTATTTATCAAAATATTGTACATTTTATTATAATGTAAATCTCGTGAGTTTGAAGTGTATCGCTGGATCACTGTCTATATAAGAGATGTCTGTTAAAAAGTCAGTGAATCACTGTCTATAAGATAAAAGATAAAGGTCTCGCTGCCGAGTTTTATTATATTTTGTTCTATTTTCGTCACAAGATATATTATAAATTGTAAAAACAGCCCGATCGTCGGCTCATTCGTTAAAAGGATTCTTATTCGACAAAAGGAGATCAGTTCCTCTTTTAATCAAGGTCTAAATTCATTCAGGTGAAGAATCCGAAAGCGAAAGCTCGCCTGATTGGGAGAATTAAGAGGCTCCACGTGGTCGGGGGCTTTCATTAAGTGGCGCGGACGATTAGAAAATTGCTATCGGACCCAATACAACACGATTACTGCGGTCGGGGCGTGAGAGCCAGGATGAAGAAAGGGGACGGCGCGGCGCGTCGCGTTGCGTGTGCGTGGCGAAGCCGACGAGCAATGCTCGGAACGCGCGAGTTGGAGAAAAAAAAAAGAAAAAAAAAGTTAACGACACGCGGGCCGCGTTACCCGTCATTTTCCCAGCCTTCGTCGCCTGTTTATCTTAGTCACCGGCCGCCAAGCGACGCTATTTAGCGAGTTCTAATGAAAAGTTGCCAGACAGGACGAGAATGCTCTAGCGGAAAGTTTTCAGACGTACGTGGCAGAAATGGAGCAGACTCGCGGTGTGGATGATCGAATGTCTTCGTTCCGTGGGTTATAAATGAAAGGCAAAAGAATATCACATTAAACTTTTCAAATTTAATCCGTTGAGACAATTTCGTCTCGATAAAGCCAATCTTTATTTTCCAGAATATCTTGGCAAAATAAACGACACGTGATAAAACGACTCGCATGATGATGATAAATTATAGAGATCAATCAATCATATCTAGCTTCAAAAACGCGGAATATAAATATAAAGTAAACGTCAATATCAACGTGACTTTCGCGAATGAATAATTTTGTAAAATGGAATTTATTAAGTTGTTCGTATAGGGGAGGATCCTTATAAAATATTCTTATGAACCGTGGTCCCCCGAGGTTGAGCGATAAAACGTTCTTGGACGAAGGGTTAAGGTCCGAATGAGTTCTCTCGACAGTGCGTATATATTTACGCGGTTCGCGATGTTTAGTGCGTTCGATCGAACCGTGCGTACATTTCGGGGTGGTTGCTTGCTCGGCGGCGCGAGCGATGGCGAACGTCAGAAATAGCCGGGAAGAGAGGGCGGAGGAACGGAGAGGGTGCGCGAAGGGAAATGGGATACACACGCGACAGCGTCTACGGGGTGTCCCAGAACCGATCCATGCCTTTAATATTAATGACGGGCACGTCGACGAAAATGGAGTCGGTGTTTCCCGAGGGGGATGTTTCGTAGGAGGCCGTTACCCGTAACAATCGACATAAGTCATCTCTAATTAGAGTTCTAAAGTGTGTTCAGACGCCAAGAGAGCAACGGTTGCCCGAACCGCTCCAAATAAACATTCAACTATTGCCGATTGCTCGGCTCCTCAGTTCGCGGGAAGAAGAGAGCAGGCCTTCGGTAGATCGCTCGCAACTATAGATCGTTTGTAACTCGGAAGTTATCACCCCTTACGCGATTTAACTCTGTTAACTCGACGGGGGGGTTCTCGGACACCTTGTATGCTAAACGGTACGCGCACGTGCACCGCGCGCGAACCGAGCAGCCAGCAACGTGGAAGTCGTGGAACGCTGGCACAAGCGAAAAAGAGGAAAGGCGAGGAAGACCGTCGACCGTTTTAGACACGCATCTTTCGTCGAAGGAACATCATTTATCTCGACGTGGTCGGGAGAGAGGGAAGAGAGGGTGGTGTCTTGTCTCTTTCTTCTCGTTTCTCTCCTTCTTTCTCTCTCACTGTCGCGATCGTCTTCGGCGACGAGAAGAAGCGGCGACAGATATCGCAGGCGCGCGGACAGCCGCTCGACAGGCGGCGGCGGCGGTTTTGTGCGTCTCTGCTCTTTAACAGCTCTTTTTGAGAGAGGGCCCGCGGGCAAGGCGCGAGAAGCCGTAGGAAAGCAGGGGAAGACCACTCGTTAACGAGCTAACGAGCGCGCGAGTACGTCCGCGCGACGCGAACGAGAGTCGCGCGGAGTCTCTTGCGCGCTAAGAGCCCGAGACTCGAATGGAGACGCCTGAGACACACGGAGGAAACCCAAGAAGACGACTTAACCCGGGGAAACATGACGAATGGGCTTCCTCGTAGCGGAAATGGAGTGTCCAAGTCCGCATTTAAATATATTCCTTTTATACAATGTGTTAAATGCACTTCTCGTGCACGTGTGGGCAACGGTTTCTTTGTGAGACCGAGATGACTACCCCTTAACGAGAGTGTCGAGACGCGTTCCCGAACTGCGACACGTTATTAAGGAAAAGAGGGGGTTTTTTTGCGCGTCGCTTTTCTCGAGGACAAATAACGCAAACCTATTTTTCGATTAGTTTTGACTCGGGAACGGGCGCCTAGGGTGATTTTTATACCCCAGTATCGAAAAAATAAAGTTCACGTCACAGTTATTTTAATGTACTTCTTTCGTTTAAATTTTTTTGTTTTTCCTTATTTTTTCAGAAAATGTTGAATAAATCTATGTACATATTGTTCTCAGATACTAATAAATTACAGAACAATGAAAAATATGCAATATGTACCTAATTAATAACTGACTTTTAATACATTGGGGTGTAAAAATCACCAAGTGACCATTTATGAAAAAAAAATCAGCCCGTTCCCGGGTTAATATAACTTTACCTTGATAAATTCTTAAAACGTAATTATAATAGATATCATTTAATCTCGAAATTTTACAAGTTGATGAAATAACAAAAGACCGTCTGTCCGTTGAAACGCCGAATTAAATTCTGGCAGAAAATAAATCATTTCGCTCTTAAACGAAAAAATACTTCCCCATTCATCAAATGCGTTTATTTCTGAATATCGCGAAATTTCTCATGACATTTTTACGCAGGCAAAATTAATAAAAACATTCCAATGATTAATATTTCATACATATTTTTTAAATCATATCAGAAAGGCAATAGAAATATAAGCAATAAAGCGTGCGAATTCCGAGTTAATATGAATTTATTTCGGAGCGCAGCTCCGTAATTGTCCAAATAACTTTCGTGAATTTCACGAGGTTTCAGAATTTATCTTTGATCGAGTTTTTGACACAGCACTGAAAGAGAACTAAAGTAGCAAAGTGGATGTTATTCTAATCGTGGTCCTTAGAGTAACGTTATCAATAGGTGCTACATGTCATCGCGCTGACTTGATGACTTCACTCGATAATACCGCACTTAACGTCGTTGCAACAGATCTTTACGAGCACAGAAGCCTTTAACATTCTTTAAAGTGACAGTAAACATCACGATACATCGGTGTGCGAGGTGAAGACGATAAAGTGACGTCGTCCAAGGGCGCTCATATGAACGAATAGACGTAATTATTTGCTGTTCTCTCATTGTTCGCGCATTATCAAAGACGGTGAGCGCGTATACGCGCCGTACACCCGCTCGCTCGACAATCGCGCGCCTTATATATGTATTTGCACGCAGACAAACTCCCAACTCGTTCGTAGGTGACTCACCGTTTGCAGAGGGTAAATCGACCAATGGTAGTATCAACAGCACCAACACCGACACTGGGGCGAATATCCCTTTTCGGCGCGGGAATGCCAGTTCCTGCATCCTGGAAAATATATACGCACATTTTCATTATACATTGACGTTAAATTATGCACGGCGGTTTGTACGCGAATTTCTGACGCGGGCGGGCGTGTTGCCGAGACGTCTTATTTTTCCTATTTAAAAAAGAGGGAGCTGTGAGTTATTGAGTATAATTGTAAATGACAGTCTAATATCTTTTACTTATTTGAGACGTCAGATGTTTAACCTCAAACCCATTGTTATACTGCATTACTGTATAACATCGTAAAATTATTAAATGTAATGTTATGTTGCAATTGATTCAATCAATCACTTTCCTTATTCGCCATGAAAAATAATTCGTTCGCGAAAAAGTGTTTGATTTAAACGGATTGTGTGAATGCTATTGTGTGTTAAATAATCCTGAAACACGAGGGGAAAACATGAATTGTAATTTCCTTTCTGCTTAATATTTGTCTGCATTTGATCAAACAACGATATGTTAGAATTTTTTTCAATTATTTGTTTTACGAGTTGTTATGACATAGAACTTATGTGCAATACAATGCGATACAGATATCCCCCGCTTTTCGAAAGATTGCTTTACGCCACTTCGCTTTTACGAAAGACTTACATTAGTATGATTAGTATCTATTTTCGTGAAATCCAAAGAAGGAAAAAAATTATTACCATGATAATTGCTTCGTCGCTTTACGTCATTTCGGTCTAAAAAAAGTCTCATAGAAACGCTCTATTTTCGGATATAGCGGGACAAACGACAAACCTATGTTATTTAAATGATATTTAAGAAGTGGAAGATAATCCGACGTGGTAATAACTGCGAGTGACATCGCGCGAGTATTAAAAGTAGATCGGTATACGTAAGTAGCACGAACCACGTGTCTTCGTGACGATAAAGCACGAAGCGCGAACAGTGGGGATGGAAAAAGGTGATAGATAACCCGGAGTGTGGAACAGATAAGATAAGATAAGTAGATTAGGTTTATTTACCTCTAAGCAAATGCCTTTTAGAAAAGAAAGAGAAACTAAAAGTAACACGTAGACAGTGTACGTCGGAACAGTTATTGATCGAACAGTGAGATAATAACAAAAAATAAATTTAAATATATAATAAAAATAATAGAATACATATAAAATAATAAATAGAAAATATACAATGAAAATAAAATAAATAGAATATATGAGAAAACAAAAATCGTGAAAATAAACATAAATCTAGAAGAATAAATATCCCGAATTGACAAACGAATAGATAAAGAGAAAAATCAAAGTTTTAGTAAGGTAAAGTTTTATTATTCGAAACGAGTGCTCTCTAAAGGGATAATTAAGTTTCCGCGTGCGCGATTAATGAACTCAGTGTTTGATATATTGATTTCATAGCGCAGCTCTTCTGGATTATTCCGCGCGCGCATCATATTTCATTCATTTCATTAAATTTGCTGAGATACGATTTGCCTGGTTTAATCAATTTCTTTGGAATAAGGTCAAAATCCCCTATACGCGCTTTATACCTAAATCTATATTTCAAATTCGCGGAATAACGTCGATTATTTCGGCGTTAAAAAATTAACGACATGACGACGCGACGCGCGGAAAGTGTCGCTGCGCAACGTGCTACATCACTGCTACATCGTAAATGAATCATGTGCTCGATAAAATCAATATGTCGAAAACGGAACGACCACTACCAGTCGCTTTCCGTGAATTAAAGAGACATGTGTCGTGCGGCGTGCATACATTTCCTCTCGTGTAATTGTTTTCGTTCCACGGTTTGGGAAATCTCCCTTACGTCCCGTCGCCGGGGAAAGCTATGGCTACGTCACGCTATACTCATGGGTATATCGAAACTTAATCAATTGTCGGGCAAGATCGATACGTTGAAACGAGAACAACTAATCCCGTTCTGTGACTTGCAGATTAAAGTTCCTATTGCTGAACAGAAACATTCTCGGAATTAAAAAAAAAAGCTGCAATTGTAGATCTAAGAAACTCAAAGATTTCTTCATACAATAAACTTGTAATCTCGCAAAGATATACGCACGAGAAAAATAAACACGTTAATTGCCTTGAAAATCACCTGCGAGCGTGCTCGATTTTTAATTTCCGTCGCCCCAAGATGCGTAATCGATGATATAACGTAAAAACCACCAATTAGTCACCCTCTCACTGTAACATATGTACATCCACATACACGCACTACACTCCGAGATCCAGCGAAACACGATAGGGCAACGACTGTCCCGTAAAAAAGCCGAACATATCGTTATATCCGTATATTTCCTCTCTGCGTTCCGATGGTCCACGAGGGGTCGGAGATTCACCTCACGGTTCGCCAGCGAGGAAGGTCGGCTGTAGCCGCGCTATCTCGTATGGATAATCGAGAAGAGGGCAACCGAAACGCTCGCGCGCGCGAAGGTATCCCTTACCCACGTTCGCGGGTCCGGAAGCGAAAATCCGGAGCGGAAAAAAAGGAGCGACGCGACGAAAACGCGAGATACACTACCCCGCACTACCGTCGATCGCGCCGGAATGGAAACGACGACGAGTCGCGGCGGGTCGCTGTCGGCGATCCGTCGGCTATAGGTATACGATCAACAACATCCCGGCGCTAGAGCTCCGAGGCGCGACGCCGCGCCGAGCGTCCACGTACGTATCGCCACGTGAATGGAAAGAACGGCGGTTGCATTATTTAACAAGGTACACGTGTACCGCTCTGCTTTGTTACGCCGCGGCAGCGATGTGACACGACTCTTCCTCCCGCTTATCCCGCGCCGCGTTCGAGATGTCATCGTGAGGCGTCATCGTAGCCCATATTTGCACGCGTGCGTTTTTTCTTTTTTTTTTTTTTTTTTACGCGCTATTGTTCACGCAGTATCGATCTATTCCGTGACATTCCACGTAGGGGAGTGTCGAGCGAGCGATTTCGCAACCTCGCACCTTTCCATCTCGCGCTTCCCAACGCGCAAGTAACTCTTCTCCGTTCTTCAAACCGAACCCGAAAGAAGTCGATTCGAGAGCATTATTTACCGCGACAATTTAAATTTAACTTGTTCCTCATGATACAATAAAGAAATTATTTTTATTCTGGAGAGAAGGAAAATATTGGATTTTTAAACGCTTTCAGAAATAAGATCGGTCAAATACTTTTGCAAAAACGGGTCACAAAGAAAGTTAATTTTCGTTAAGATGACATTTAACGTCTATCGGCGCGAACGACGTATTCTACTTTCCGTTATCTCAAAAGTTCCATTCGCGAAACTCTTTTAAATTACAATACTGTCCTTTCGGTATTGAATTATTCCGTAACTACCGGTGTCTCAACATCGAAGCGATCGCCATTATTCTTGAGCCCTAAAGCGACCGCGGCTAAAACGACATTCGATAGCGGTGGGAGAACCTGTATTACAGGTAGGACTATAATTCTGAAAGGGACAACGAATCGCTAACCATAGTTATTTCAACTTGAGCTATCAGCATGATTGAGCACTTGTATTAACAACGTGCGGGAGACTTATTTACAAACGGACAAATAATTCACTTTCTTCCTCAAATGTTATCGCGTGCTACAGATACGTGGGTCGTCGTGTTGTAATCAGATTTTTCGAAATAGAGCTATTTCCGTCAATTGGAAGAGTCGTCAATATAATGATCCACGATAAACCCGCATATATCTTTGCGCATAAAACGAATCGACAAAACTGTAAGTTGGAGAATTATATCAGTTTACTGTTAAATTCAAAAGCGTTGCGACCGATATACATATATATATGTATATTTGAGGCAGTAATTATAAGTATTTAATATTTAAGTATTTTAGCATGATTTTATAACTGCAAGTGTCTCGAGAGTTAGAATTAATGCGTATCGTCGCGAATGGATATTGCATAATATATGATAATGTTAGATCTCTCGCGAGACGCGCGTTTCGCTTCGCGATGCGCGCGAGCATACCTAAGTATACGTGAATCGTTTTCTTCTGTCGGCGAGGAGACACTCACACGTTGAACTATTATATTTATCTTAAATGCGATCCGATTATTGATCTGTAAGGTTGCCGCGGCTAAGCGCTGAATAAATAAAGAGTAAAGTAAATAAATGCCAGACGAGCTACTCCAGTTTCTTTACTGACGTAATACTCATGATTATCTCAGGTATAGAATATCATCCGTTCCCCCTTTATCACGCTGATTCACGGCCGTGGCTCGCATCGGCGTGACGGTGGAGTTCAGCGAGTCTTGTGCGTCCAGGATGACGAACGAGGCGGTTTGGCTCGCGTTGTCCGAAAAAGCAAACGTTACTTCTTCGTTAAAATGATTCTGCCGCGGTCGCTGCCGATTAATGCACGCCTTTATTGCTCGATTTATGCTACGAATCGTGCTTTTGAATATTCTAGGAATAACAGCGATGAGAGATCATTTATCATATATCAATTTGTGGCCCCCCCCTAGTCACGGTCGCATTAGATTCCAATTAGGGTACGATCGATGATGATCTTTGACATTCAAAATTTTATGTAACGTTGCTATTCGCGTTGGTGCATTTTGCAAAATGCCATCTCAAAGTACATACTAGATTATTGATAGAAATAATAATTACACGATACAATTTAACTAATTGGATAATTCAAACATTGATGATAGAAATTATAATATAAATAAATTAATTAAATTGAACAATAATCGCAATAATAAATTATAGTTATAACAATAGCATGTAATAACGAGCTTGCGAGACAACGGAATGCGTTTTTAGGAAAATATTTAATGAAATACATTTATAAAAAATTTTTTTTTGCTGCTGTGTAACGATTAATTTCGCTACTTCGCAGACATATAATTATAATGGTGTTGATTATAAATTTCGTGGAAAGTCACGCCGACTGTATCTTACACCGAATATTAAATCCGAAGACTTGCATACAGAGTGATAAAACACGCCCGCATCAGAATTAGTCATAATACATCTCGGCAGACATAATAAAAAAAAGAAAACAAGATATTGCAGGACGAGGCTGCTCGATCTCAGGTACCTCCAGGCACCCTGAGAATGACTCAGGAACAGGTCGGGAAGGGAAAACTGTCGACTACTACTCGAAACGGGACAAAAGGCAACCGCGAAGTCGAGCCGGTTGCACCAACGTCGGTTAGCCTTTAATCTCTCCTCTGTATCTTTATTATAGTTTGCGATTGTGTACGATGAGAAGGATTTGTGTGTAATAGGGGGAAAGAGGATATCGTTGGCCGATTGAATAGCCAATCAAAGCGATCGATACAGCCGATCAACCCCATGGGACGCTTGTACTTTACGACATTAAATCTGCTCCTCTTAGTTACAATTTAGCACCTTCCTTGTTCTTTCGCTTAAGGTACGAATGTATATGTCTGTTCTAGAGAAAAAGTTGAGGAAAAAAGGTGCTGATAAAAAAACCAAGTCTATTAATCAATAAGATTAATAAATAATTAATAGTCTCCGATCAATTCGGAGTAGATATTTTCTTATGAGAATGTCAAGGTACGAATAATAATTTTGTGTTTGAGATGATTGAAAAATCTAAGGAACTGATTAATTCGAATTGATTTATAAAAGTGAATGATAAAATCTTATTTCTCTTTGTTTCAACGATGTTATGAGGTTTTGTTGCAAAGATATTTAGCAGATATGAAATGTTTTATTTATCTAGTCTAGAATCTATAAGATATATGCGTTCTTTACACGTACTTATAATTTTTTCTTCCCAATTATTGCCTTTTTTATACTCATAAATTTTATGAACTTCTCTACTCTTTCGGTGCAAATTTAATTAGATTATTTTTCTAGCAACACATTTCATATTTGTTAAATATCTTTGCGACGAAACTCCATAATGCAACATTGTAGAAGTAAAAAAAAGTAAAATTTCATCTATTCTTATAAATTAATTCGCATTAATTAGTTTCTTAGATTTTTCAATCATCTCAAGCTCGAAATTATTATTCAAAACTTGACTTGGGAAAATATCAACTCCGAATCAGATCCGAGACTGTAAAACAACCTATGGAAAATCCAAGAGACGCACTTGCTTCACTTACAATGGCGGAAAATGTAAATGCAACTAAAGGACTTATTGTTATTAGAGTTACTAACTAAGAGTTATTAACTCTAACATGTACAGCAACGAGATTTAATTATTACACGTTTCTTATTGTAAAAGTACTAATTGTGCCAAAGTTCTAGCTTAGTACGACTCGAAGTCGTATTCGAAGACATTACACTAACGATAAATTATTTCTCAGCGGCTGTTTAGGAATAGTCCCATTGTGTTTTCACAACAATAATACTAAAGTGTTAAATTTATAAAGCTCTTACATAGAAACCTGCATTCCCAGAATCACTGCGCGGTGCGCCTCTCGAACAAAGATTGAATTCAATCCACCACACACACTCTCTCTAAGGCGTCCAAGGGTTATCCCTCAGCAGTCTGACCGAACTTTCTTTCATTGTCCACATTTATAGGTAGGACTGTAACGACGATCGCAAATTCGCTAAGTCAGCAGGGTTGACCGTCGGCTTTGAATTCTCTCATTTTTTTTTTGGCCCTTTCTCGAGGCTATAGCTAAAGCTTCCCACGCAGAGAAGGCCCAGGGATCCGACTAAAAAAACATTCCCCAAAATATAATCTTTCTAACCGGATTTTCTTTCTAACGGGCCTTTCTAACGGATTTCCGTTCTTTCGTGCCCTTTACAAAAACGTAAAATATAGCATCCTCGTTTCAGCGTTGTAGCACGCAAAACGCAGGAAGGCGCAAGCTAATTAAAACGGAACCATCAAAAGGGATAACGATCGAGGAGAGGGCGGGCGGACGTCGTCGCGAGCAGAGGCCTCGAGGGCTATACGAGGGGCCGATCGACGCGATCGTCGCCGACCTTGACTCGGCTCGATCTCGCGATACTCCCACGGCGGGGAGTAAACTCATTGTCAGTAAAACCGGGAGGCGTGGAGACGAGAAGACTCCGCGCGCGCTCCGGTTTACCGAGAAGGAAACAAAATCCACAATTGTCGACTAACCTTCACGCTGGCTAATATCCGTCACCGTGGCGAAGACAGCACCCCGTGGAAGCAATCACATGATGCACTAACAACGGACGCGCAACACGGCCGCACCGCCACCGGGTTGAATCCGTCGACGGGGCATCGGTCGGGAGTACGCCGCCGCGCGATCCGTATCGGTCTCGGCACGAAAGTGACAGCAGCAGAAGGGAACGTCGTGCAGGACGATCCTTCGCGAGCGGCCAGGGCGCTTCTGTCTCCCTCTCTCCCTTTCTCTCTCTCTTTCTCTCTCGCTCCTTTCGTCTCGCTCCCGCCCTTCCGACAAGGTGTCCCGACGGCGTCGAGGTGCACGGGACCGTAACGAGGCGATCTCGCGAATGCGGCGAACGCGAACACGGCGAACGCGAAACGCGACACACCAGGCACACGCGGGCGCGAGGGGAAAGAAGGGGGCGGGGAAGGGGAACGCCTGTCGCGATCCCGCGACGGCCTGCGTCTCGGCGATCTCGAGAGCGCGAGCGGACGAGCGGGTTCGGTGACACCACCACGGTAGTAGTACGCCCGTGCGTCGCTGCGTCGTCGTCGTCGTCGTCGACGTCGTCTCCGGCGGCGTCGGCGGCGGCGGAGCGGAGTGGCGGCGGCACACAGCGCGAGGCAGGCCAACAATGGCGGCGTATGACGTGCGCGGACTGCGCGGAGTGCGCGCGGACGTGAGGGCGGGAGGGGACGAGCGGCGCCGCTAGATGTCGCGACTAGGCGACGAGATTGGTCCGGTAACAATGGTAACTGGTAACTCGTAAACGCTGCGCTTCTTTCTCGGAGGAGCACACGAATGAGTTATTACGGCGTGCCCTTCGTCCTTTCTGCCTATTCGGAGCCAATCAAACGGAGGAATAGGGCCTGCGCGCCTCCCGAGATTCCTGGGCAAATTTTTCGCCAATGGCGAATATCCTGAAAGAGACCGCCTCCTCTGTCTTTTTAGCAAATTTGCGAAACGTCCCCCCCCCCCCTTTTTGCGGAACCGTTTTGTCTCCCTAGGAATCTGCGGCTTCTTTTGCTTTCCTTTATCTCCAGTACTTTACGACTCCTGTTTCGGAAAATAGGAACCTTTTTTTAGAACTCCGAAACGAGCGTCGTTTGTTAATTGCATCGCGGTCTCACGTCCGTCGCCTCGTTTAAATCACGAATTCGAACGGCAAAACGGGACGTTCTTTATTGGAGCGATAAATTAAAGGGAGGCGCGCGTTTTTGGAGTACCGACGCGTCCGGACACCTCGCTTCGGAGCCGTTCCGTGCGCGTCGAGAGGGCGGCAGCAGAAAAGGCAAACCTCGAATCCGAACTCCGAAGACACTTGATATACTCGTATTACACTTGCGTATCAACCCGAGACTCGCATATAGATGCGCTCTGTTATCTACTTCATATTATTGTGAAACACGAGACAATATTATCAATAATGCGTCAATAAATGATCAAAATTTATATAATATTATTGTCTTTTATAATATATTTACGTTATATCCTTACAGTCAATAGTTCATAATCAATTTAAAGCTTTAATGGATATAAAAAATGGTAGTTTAAGTCATCTGCTTCTTGTTATTATTAAACAGAGATAATGTTATGCGTCAATATAAATGATCAAAATTTATATAATATTGTCTTTTATTATATATTTACGTTATATCCTTACAGTCAATAGTTCATAATCGATTTAAAGCTTTAATGGATATAAAATGCTAGTTTAAGTCATCTGCTTCATGTTATTATTAAACAGAGATAATGTTATGCGTCAATAATGATAAAGAATTTATATTACATGTATCTTGTATTGTACACAGAAAAAGAAGAATATTCTTGATTTGAAAATATATATTTTTAGTTTCAACGTGGAGATCTTGAAATGAGATTATATTGCGTTAAACGAAGAAAACTTGCTTGAATGATTTTATATATAATTCAACCAAGAAAAGAAGTTGAAGTGAAAAGCTGAAATTTTTATAAGAAAAGTATAGATTGTTGCACACGAGTATACGTTTAGTTTCGATTTGACACTTCTTTTTCCTGTGTATTTATATTATATCCTTACAGTCTGTAAAGTTCATAATAGATTTAAGGCTCTAATGGATTTACAGTGTTTGTTTACGGCAGTTTACAAACACTTATAAGTTTCTTTATTTCTTTGTATTTCGATAATAGTCGCTATTATAGATTCCGAAGTTATAAAAGACGCAGTATCGCAGTTTGCGCGTAAACTTAGCGTTTTAATCCAAACGCCTTTTTTGTAATATGTCATTAAATATTAAAAAAAGGAATAAGTCCCGACCGTCTCGCCAGATTCGGACGCCTCGTAAATATTTGACGAGAAACGGTGACCTCGCGTTTCGCGATATATCAATCCAGTAGAGAGCAAGAACAATGACAATGGTAATTATAATTAAACGATAGGTTGACCTCAAATCCGAAATCCAAAAGAAGATCTAATTAATAAGTCAAAACGATTGACAAGACGCGGACTGATGAATAAAGGGGCTCAAAACTGTAACAGAGGATGTTCGTGCCGAAATATATTACATTAAAATGGTGTTTTTCTTTCTAATTGATTGTATCATGATCCTGTTTTTCTTATTATTATTGATTATGTTAAAAATTAAAATTTACAACCGTCTCGGCCTGTCATTAGACAAGATCTAACTCAGGAACGGGCACCTGGGGTGATTTTTACATCGCAGTATAAAAAAATGAAGCTCACGTCACAGTAATTTTAACGTGCTTCTTTCGTTTTTTAAATATTTTTTTATTTCTCCTTACTTCTTTCAGAAAATGTTAAGTAAATCTATGTAAATAAAGATATGTAATATATAATGTAATTAATAATAATGGCTTTTAATTGAGGTATAATAATAACTCCATTAAGTAATCATAAAAAAAAAATTAGGCGCTTGTTCTCAGGTTAATCTCAATAAAATTTGATTTTAAGTTTCTGAATTATAAGATAATTCTTGCGCGTCGTATCGGTCGACGGCTCTCGCACGCTCATTCGTCATGCAATCCGACTATTCCGTGTCAGCTACTTTATTATTAGAAAACTCGGTAGACGGGATTTGCACTCGCTTAGACGTTCTACGAGTGTTAAGTTTCATTCTTTGCGCTGTTCGCGCGAAATTGAATGCGCGCGGTCGATACGCGCGGCGACGCTGCTGATGGACGCCGATCAGCGTTCGCGCCAGATATACCGGTTCCGCACGGTAACGCCATCGTGATTCGTGATCGCGCGTGACCACGCGTCGCTCTGCTTTCCGTGCGTGACTTTGTATATACGTGCGATCGAACTCCGGCGTAAGCACCGGACGGCGTGTTTGATAAACAATCGCGTCGGTGGCCGTTGCTTATCGCGCGAGTGCGTACGGCTGGGTGTCGAGTGTCACGAGGCGCGTTGCAAGTCGTGGAACGAGCCACGCGCTCCAACGCGGACGGTACACGTTACGCTTACGCACCGTGCACACGCCTCGCGCACGAGGTTTGACGCGCGGACGCGTCCGACTCGTGGAACGAGGAACCCGAGGAACGACGACGCGACACGGAGGAACACGACGACGAGTGGCGCGCTGACGCGACTCCAAAATCGACATGAAAATTGGAACGGGAATGTCGAAAAATGTAATGGGAAAGTAACAAAGAGTCTGTAACTGATTGGGAAATGACGAGGGAGAGTAATAAGATAAACGGAGCTTTTGACTCCGATTTTTATAATGTAAATTAAAACGTGTCGATGAAAATCCAGCGGAGAATTCAATGAAATTGGGACGGTCCGATCGTGGGGCGATTCCTGGCTCGATTTAAGATTAAAGTCTTGAATTCGATCTCGAGAAGCTGTACGGTTATATCATTGGCTGGATGGAATCTCAAGATGGTCTGAAACCAGACTTGAATGCGTCGCGTAGCAGCCGAAGGGCACGTGGCGCATCCTCCATCTTTGCGACGCGCGAAAGATTTAAAGATGAGGTTTAAAGGGAGATCGCGGAACTCGCGAATTGAAAGTTAGGGAGGGTCTAGAAAATTGATTTTATCACGCGCGAAGGGTGCCCTGGCGAAGACAGGAGACGGAATATCGATATATACGCTTTTGGCTCTTCCGGCGCGCGCGTTTATCGGAACCGAACAAAGGGAAAGAGAGATAAAGCCCCCCCGCCTAGTAAAAAGATCGTAAAAAAGTCTAAAGGAGAAAAAGAAACTCGAGCACGTATACCCGCGCGTAATTGTTTCAACTCGTAAAATACACTTCTCCCCGCATGCTCTAGTATTTTCGCAAACTTTTCGCCCCAGTCGTGAAATCCGGTTTGTTTAGCCCGCTTTCACATTCATTATTCGGAATCAGGCGACCCAGACGTATTATGCGTACGAAGAATGAGAAGGAAAAAAAATGGTAAAAAAAAATAGGGCGAGAAAAGCTATACGGACTGCACTATAGCTCATCCCGTATACATGGCGATCCTATTGTTTCGCTCGACGCAGGCTGACGATGCACGAAGTGCGTCTATCAGCTATGGCAATTTAAAAAAAAAAATTCTCGTCGAAACTGGGGTAAAAAGTTGGAGGACATCGGGAGCGGGAAGGAAGAGAGAAAAAGCGGAACTCCCGAGGATTTCCGGGACAGACTCGATTCACGGAATCGAGGACACGTGCGAGATCGGTATACCTACTCCGACATGCCTTGTTCTCGCGAACCGAAAAGCGACGTGAAAAATTGAAAAGGAAAAATGCAAGGAAAAATATCGACGGAGAACACGCGTTTAAATAGCTTCTGACATTTTTACAACATGGAATGAATTAACAAACATCGACGTTTTCGGTCACCGGGCGGGACCTCGTGATGTCACAATAACTTCCCAGACAGCACAATGTCCAAAATCGAGACGTAAGACGTCTTAAAATTGTGTCGTCTGGGTCTCGTGAATTTTCTACATTCCTTTGCGCCCCGATGGAAAACTAATGGAAGATCCCGTCGTAAATCGAGGGGGTAGAGAATAGCCGGGGGGCTAACGGCGCCGCCGTCGGCACGTGCTCCAATTCTTACGACCGAAGGAAGATTAGTTATCAGCGAGGATCTCGGGCACGAGGACACCACGTGCGCGAGGGTGTACTGACGGCGGGAACGGTGTACCTTCTCGGAGACGGGGATCGATAACCGGGGCGACGGGAGGCGGGAACTGCGGGAAGGAGAGTCGCGTATATATCGACGAAGCATTTCGTTCCCTTTCGCTGGGTATTGCCGCCGACCTGGCCGAAGGATGCTTCGCGCGCATGCACGCCGCGGAGCGTTTTCCTTCGACGATGACAGATCGAACGAGCAGTCGCCACCGAAAGTGTTTCGCGGAGCGCGCGCGCGAAACCGATCTCCGCTTCTCTCTCGCCGCTCCGCTCGGCCGATTCGTGGGGCCGCGCGTCTCTCTCGTCCCGTGTAATTGTCTCCTCTTGGCGTGTCCGTCCCGTCGTCGTCTTCACGCTCGTTTCCACGCTCGCGCCACGCTTGGATCCCCCGTGTGGCCGCCTCGATCGGTCGATGCGCTCGGTAATAAGCGTCTCGCTGCGATATGTACGCGCGAGCCCGCATAGCGACTATATTCCGTTACCGCACGTTAAAACGGCACGTGCATCGGCGCTTCGCTTGTTGAGAAAACTTGTCCCGAACGGAGACAGTCGCGAGACGGCAAATTAAATGCGAGATGCCGCAGCCTCCGAGCGTCTCCGAAGCATATGGGATCGCGTTGTGGATCCGCTTGTCCGCGAGCGAGATTTTTGCGATTTGAAATGCCGATGAACGCGTCGCTGATATGAGATATATGGCCTGCAGAGTACATTGCTTGTAATTTTATTATTATGCACACGTGATTACCGAAGATACCGAGTTATATTGAAGTCTTTCTCTTGTACTTTACACTTGTTATCAGATTATCATCAATTGAGCAGCACCAGTATTTATTTATCGCTTTAATTATCACGTATTACTTTTAAGTAACGTGAAGATTGGACAGAGTGTGCATCAATCATATCGTTATTTTCTATAATTTTCTCTTCTTATTTGTGTAAATGCACAATGCAAGTTATTATTATGAAAAGATCTTTTATATATAAACATACACTTAGATCTCTTTTAACGTACACTTACCTACCACATTTTTCTAGCACATGTAATTTTTGTAATTAATTTTAATATGATGGATATAATTAATTTGTTTTATCTATGTAAACACACAATGCGAATCATTTAATACATTTAATACATTTCTAGCACATATAATTTTTATAATCAAAATATATAATAGATAATTAATTTATTCCATTAAACATCCATTATGTATAATTTATCCATTTATTATCCAATAATATATTAACGAATAATAATATAATTAATAAGACTTTATATAATTTTATAATATGTTAATTGTGTGTTAATATAATTATAAGAGCATTTCTTCAAGAATTAAATAATTTTACTTTTCTTTTCTAATTTCCATTGTGCGCACTTAAAAAGATGTAAGAGCTACGCAAATATTTCTCCTGGCGTTAAAAATTTACAAATTGGAAATGGGTTAATCGCGTCGTTTCATCAATCGGGAGTGTTATCGAGGCCACGAGGACGTCCTCTGCGCAGGTGCTCGCCGCGACATGCGACCTTTCGATCGTTCTTTCGCGGCTGGGAAAGGTGTTTGTCATCCCTTGCACCCTGATGTGGATCGCCGTCGTCGTCCAGGCGACGGAGACCGCGATCGGATCGATCACCATAAAATAGAAAGAGACAACATAGAAAAACAATGCGTCCGCGGGTCTCGACGCGGGAGGTCGCGAATTAAACGTCGTCGTCGAGCCATATCGCGAATGAGACAAAGAGACGCTAATCGTTTTGTTATCGATCACGTTCGTTCGCGATATACGTTATATAGCGTCGCGACGTAAGCTTCTCCGTTTCTTCGGCCGACGATTTGATATCCGACTGATTGTGAGAGAAAGATTAGGACCGGGATCGCGGCTAATTGAATCAAGCACACGACGTGTTACAATCGGGGGATTGTTCCATTTGTCGAGATTAACCGGCGGGAAACCGTTCTCAGCCACTGCCCGACGACGGGAATAAAAACCAGCGGCGGGAAACGCGCGAGTTTCTTTCACGTTAAGCCTCGCAAGAGTCGCTATAATCCGATAATAAAGGAAATCTTCTGTACGAGTTCCAAAGATCTTTTCCGGAGAAAAATTATTTCGTTATTTTTGTCCTTTTTATTCCTCTCTGAGGTCTAAAAATATAATTCAAGAATTCGGTGACAGAAAAAGAGTTTTTTTAGGCTGATGTTTTAAAGATCGAAAAAAAAAAGAAAACAGTGTCTTGCAAGACACGGATATATTATTATTATACTAGCTATGTTGCAAAATCGTTTCCTGTTCTTTCTCGAAAGATATTTTTGGGAATATATTATTTTTTTCAATTGGAGAGACGTTGATGCTATTCGATATATTAATTATTTGTTATTCTAAACAGTTATGCAGGAAAACTTTCTTCTGCGTATTTACCGCCGTTCTAAATCGGTTCTAGCTTGACAAGGTAGCGAGTAATAAAAATAGCGCGTCGTATGCTAACGTCTTATTGCCGGTATATAAGAACATTATGGATGAGCGTTTGATTAAAGGCTGTGGGCTGATCTCTCGACCGTCGCGCGCCGCGCGTTAAATTTTAAACGCGCGGCCGGAATCAATGCCGCAACAAACGCACACACACGCGCGCCGCGCATAATACGGACGTAGGATACGGATGACATTTCTCTTGTCTTGTCTGCCGACAGATATCGATGTGGATGTCGAACATGGTGCAAAAGTCGGACAGCGGAAACGACGCCGCCGGCGAGGCCGGTCGCCGCGTGCACGCGAGTTCGATCGACGACGAGTCGTTCGCCACGACCTTGACGCATTAAAGGAATTGCCACATTGCGAATGTGCGTCGAAACGCGATCGAAATGTCGTTTTTTGGACGGAAAATGGGCGGTGGCGGAGGCGGGGGCGGCGGGGGTTCCGAGCATACCGGTCATAACTTGCAGGACGGCCTATTTCAAATTGCATCGCAGGCCTGTCACATCCTCGTGCAAGTGAGTGCGATCTCCGCGTATGGAGACGTTTGCGATTGTCAAGTATTTGATAAGGCACTATCCGACGCAGAATCGAATGAGATAACATTTTAAATGGACATTGAAAACAATGTCTAAGACGAATGACGTAAGACATAAGATTTACGACTTCTTTTCGCAATAAATTCTTCACGGCGATTTAATAAGGATGCTTATTAGCGTTAAAATGCAAATGAATTATCGATTTAAGTATATGCTGTGTTTTAAAGTTCGACAAAAAATCGGCGCGGAATTTACCGAGCTTGGAAAATATAAAATTAGTATACAAAAAAGTATACAATATTTATTATTAGACTACCAAGATCCAGCCTGGAAATGGAATTTTTCTCTCTAATTGATTGTATATTATATCGATCCTGTTTCACTTATTATTATTGAGTATTATGTAAAATATTGTCGGAGACAATATCGAAAATAGTACTGGAGATAATATCAAAAACAATACCGCAATCGTTATCGTGTGTAGTATTAACAAGAATGTTTAAGTTTTACATTTTGCTGGTAAAACTGGAATACGCTTCATATTAATTTAATTTGTCCTCGATTAAATCACGCAATCTATTGTATTGTATAACGTGCAAAAAAAAAATGAAATATAATTTACAACATTTTGTATATTTAAATTCCGAAAACCGCAGTAAAACCGCATGGCACGCATTATCTTTTTCATGTTTGATTCATATTGTTCATGAATCATGAAACGTATGTAATATGTAACGTTTGAGTCAATAAGTTGATGCGGCGTGTGTTGTAATCTTAATCGACTCAAATGTACATCTCATTATTCACGCACACTTTGTTCTTCGAGAGGATATTTTCCTTTTACATTTCTACTTTGTTCTTCAAGAGGAATTTTTCCTCTTACGTTTCCACGTTTTTTCCAACAGAAGAACTTCATTAATTATACTCGCATGACATAGCGGAAGACATCGGGATGTGTCTCGCGCCTCTTCGTGAGATTCGCGAGATTGCAAATTCAAAATGAATTTATTTACAGTAAAAATTTAAACTTTTTATCTTTTTCTCCCGACTCTGCTGCCAACCTTCGGTTGGCAAAGACGAGGGAGTATATAAGCGTTTCACCGGGGCCGAACCTTTGTTAACATTTGATTTTAAAGATTTGCGCAAAAGATTTTACTAAGCCTTAAATTAAAATGATATAAACGTAAAGCGTATGTGAAGTTAATCGAAGAATAGAATTTTGCTTTGTAAATAACGTATCGCTTTCAATTTTCTCCTTTAATGTCCGGACAATCGATCAGAAACTAAAGACTACAGGTTGGAGCGGTAAAAATAAATATCGTTTTCTTTCTCTCTCTCTCTCTTTCTCCGTCAAGGTGAATAATACGCACAACGTTTCTTACGGAGGTAGCAATAATGTGAATAACATCGCGTATTCGAAGTACTCGACGGCTGGCGACTCCACCGCTCCGACGACATCGTCATCGACGAAAGGGGCGACCGCAGCCAAACCGTATCCGAAGTACGCGGAGCCTCGGGACAAGGACCAGGACGTGGTGGTGTTGTTGCCGCATCGCAAGAACAGAGCACCGCGACTCAAGCACAAATTATCGGTAAGTATCCTCTCGTATCACTCTGGCGATACATATAAAATTTTATGCCGCCGTCACGTCGCGTGCATTTATGCGCCGATCAAAACAGAAATGCATTCAACTTACGTAATTTACAAAGCCCGACAATTTCATTAGCAGTTTTAATAACGAGTCATTAATTTTATCCTTGAAGCGGATCGTTTGCTTGTAATCTGCTCCATAATCTCTCAGCAGAGGAAAACGCGATGTGTACGTCTTACAATAAAAATTTTTTCTCGATACTTCCTCGATCGTTCTTCGTTAGAAAAAATCCCCGATTAATCTTCGAATAATTCGTTTATTTCCCTAATGAATCACGAGCGGATTGATTTTCTCGTCACGGATCTGTTCGGATGAATGGCAAAGTCCGCGCACTCCTTATCATATTAATGAGATAAAGTCCACGTGGTCTGTTTTTAATCAAACACTTGACAGAAAAATGGTGGTAAGGACCGGTGAAGCATATTTTCTTTTTATATTGAATCTCCCGGGCAGATTTTTGTAACAATATTACAACGATATTGCGCAACATATTTGTAACATGAAAAAAATAGCATACGTGATATACTCTGTTGTAGACCGTTTCCGAAAACGCACGGCTGGATGTGAACTCCCCAGGAGGTGACGACGATTTAGAGTTATGGGATCAGACCGGATTTATGTTGAGAACCAACGTGGACTATCCTCTCACGAATTCAAAGTACGTATCTAATAGTCCAATTTAAAAAAAATTGAGAGAAAGATTTATGACAATGGTTTTCGGGAAATAATGTAAACGCATATATTTTTCATTATTTCGTCAATTACGTGAAAATAATATACTTAATAAATTTAATGAAAGACTCTCTATTCTACAAATAAGTATATTCTCGGTTGACGAATAAATTATTATTTCAAGTATATAGAGAGAAAGCTTATTATTTTTCTTGGTTTTTTTTTAATGTAGTTACTTTTTACGAATTAAAATGCGCAATAAAGAAGCTACTTAAGGTTTAAAGATTTTTGACGCAAGAAAATTGTGACTCTATTGTTATAATTGTTATAATGACTCTATTGTTATTATGAGATCTCATAATAAACGCAATATAATTTAATAATATAATTTTCTGTCAAAGGTGGGGCGCACAGGGTTGGTGCAGACCCAGTTGCATACCGATAACGATCATACTGATTCTGATCGTCCTGGTGGTGCTTTTGCCACTGTTGGACCATGCGGCGGACAAATATCTAAATTCCACCGCGTTGGATTCGGAATCGACGTGCATGGATTATTGTAACATATCTCTAGTGGAAAGTATACCTATCGGCTTGAATTATAACAATAATACGCCGCAGCATGAAACGACCTACGATTCTTGGATGGATCTTATCGGAATGGCGCAGGACACCATCGAAATCGCGTCCCTTTATTGGACAATGAAAAGAGAAGATGTGTTTCCCGATGACAGTGCTAAGATGGTAAATAGTGCGTAATGTATCATACACACTCAACCGTTGACTTCGTCCGTTTAACAAATTGTCTTACAGGGAGAACAGGTGTTCCAGTCGCTGTTAGAAGCCGGAAGAGATAGACAGATCAAGCTAAAAATTGCGCAGAATCTTCCTTCTCGCTTGTCTCCGAACGTCGATACGCAAATTTTGGCCAAAAAGGCTAAAGCACAGGTGATATTATAGTGTCCATTTTGACAATGGTGTATTATCTTTAAATTTCATATAATTTTTTAGTAAATTTTTTCTATCTAGTCAGTTTAATGATAAAATATTTGCCTATATGAATAGTCATTACCCAGCTTTACTAATTTTTTATTAGCATTTATTTATTTATTAAAATTTGCCGTGAATATAATTTTTTGAAGGCAACGTATTTTTGTTTGAATTCAGGTGAGAAACTTGAATTTTGCTGGATTGTTGGGCGGCGGGGTACTTCACACGAAACTCTGGCTCATCGACCGTACTCATCTGTACGTCGGCTCGGCAAATATGGATTGGAGATCTCTTTCGCAAGTGAAGGAACTCGGTTTGATAGCTTTGAACTGTTCCTGCTTAGCAAACGATTACGCCAAAATATTCGATGTAAGCAGTGAAATAAAATGAAAATGTGTAGTACGCTTCAGCTATGTTTACTATCTTTGAATTGAAAATTCATACAATTATCACGGATCTTCTTTTTTATTTTACAGGTATACTGGAAGTTAGGCGAGGACGGTAAAGTGCCTTCCACATGGCCAGATTCTCTTAGCACAAAGATAAATATAGATAATCCTATGAATTTTACATACATGGATAATAAGTACAAATTATTTATCGCAGTTAGTATCATCTTAATTTAAACGTGTTATATTGTGGCAATTATTCTTTTCAAGTTGTAGAAAATATATATATATTAAAATGTTACAGAGCTCACCTCCGCCATTTTCGCCGAAAGGTAGAAGTAGCGATCTAGACGCGATTGTGCACTGTATTACTAAAGCGGAAAAGTTTATTTATATCTCTGTGATGGATTATTTCCCGTTAACGATATATACTCCACAAATAAAGTACGTATAAAATATAAATATATTGAATATAAAATGTAGTGAAATAGTGAAACAAACATATATATATAATAATATAAACTATTATATAATACAGCAGTATCTTTTTCTTTTATATTGTTTCTTCTATTAACGTACCAGTTGTTTTATGTCTTTGTGTTTCCAGGTATTGGCCTACAATAGATAACGCTCTAAGGGCGGCGGCAATCGAACGTAAAGTAAAAGTGCGTCTTTTGATCTCTTGGTGGAAACACTCTAGACCGTCGGAGTCCTATTTTCTTAAATCACTGCAAGACTTAACGTACAGTTATCCCAATGTCAAAGTCGAAGTGGTGAGTATTCCATTCAGATATTTAAATGCTTACGTATTTTTCTGATGACAAATTCGAATTGCCAAATTTTTAATATAGAGAAGGTTTATCGTACCCACCAACTCGTCTTTGGATAAAATACCATACGGGAGAGTGAACCACAATAAATACATGGTCACCGATATAGCAGCTTATATCGGAACGAGCAATTGGTCGGGCGATTACTTTATTGACACGGCTGGTGAGTCATTCAAATATCGAGTTTCATGAAAATAAAATAAGATAAATTATAGTATAAGTAGTAAAACTTGCATACGTTATTATTGTAAATGAATTTGAAATATACATCATCTATATATATAAGTACTGTTCTTACAAAAGTGCATTTTAATGCTTGGTTTAAATTTTTAACGCAAATATTTTATTTCAGGTATCGGCACCGTGTTTGAAAGCGTTGGACATCAGAGCAACGACAACATAAGACAACAGCTGGAAAATATCTTCCACCGTGATTGGTATTCCAACTATTCTTTTCCGTTAAATATAAGCGAGACTCGTCCTGAAAACTCATGGGACTTATCGAGAAATTCATTTCAACAATCATATGAACCTTATATACATGTATAATTATGCCACGCATAATCGCGCATACACAGCGGTCATTTTTAATCATGAAACATTTATCGTGTTGATTTGATCGAGAAGAGTTTATTCTAAACGGGACAACTAAAATTATTTTATGTATGTATTTCTTTATTATATTCTAACCGTATTATGCTCTTTTTGATTTTAAATATTTTTGTAAATATTTTTTAAAATTTTCATAAATCTTAGACTCTACGCAAACAGTGGATCATTGTAATATTGGAATTTATCGTTACATATATATGTTGCTGTTTACTTGTGTGTTTATATATATTATACATGTAGCATAATATGAAGCTATTTAGTGATAAGAAAGTAAATTACGATATTTTGTAGCGCTAAAACTATTACAGCGCTAAGTTTGCTATACCTAGTGACATATAAATCAATATTTTGTCTTTTATATGAATATTTTTTAATAATTATTATACGTCAATGAATCATTAACTAATTAAGAATTCAGTTTACAAAAGCAAATGAATTTGATCAAGCTCATATATATTTTTCATTTAATGCATAATATTTTTACATATTTTCTAGTAATCAAGTATTTTTCTCAAATTCTGTCCTAAAAATTTGCCTTCTAATCTCTCTGAAATCTTCACAAATTCCATCAGTTAAAACAATGGGCGATATCAGTTCTTCCTTTCTGCTGATCTTTCTTTATCTCACGACCTTCGTTATTCATATCGCGTTACGTTTACGAAAGTATCGGATATTGTTTAACGAAAAAAGCACATTGTTTAATGAAAAGGGTAAAACGTGCCTTACAGAAAAATATGTCTTTGCGATAAGCACGGCGATATTAATCTACAGAAATGCATCGACTCTGCGTTCTTCCACGAAACTTGTGACTTTTCTATAGAATTTATCCGTTTGTGTTGTCGCCTTTCTACTAGTATATGCAAAAAATGGGACCTGATTTATTAATGTCTTGATAAGTATAAAAAAGAAAAAATTAAATAATTAAGTAGATGGTTTGTTCCCCGATAAAATGGCTACTACAATGTCGCTTGTGCGATGTTGATTGATTGAGTATAATCCATCTGTGGTATAATCTTCGAGCACTGCAGTTATTAATATCGTCAATTCAATTCTCCCGTCACAGAAAAAATAAAATAAGACAGAAAAAGACTAATAATATCTATTTTGTCAAAGCTCTGATAAACTTTCATTATATCTTAAGCACTTCAATATGCGGTACTTATATGTATAATAATATTTAAATGTAAAATGCATGTTTAATTAAATGTAAGGAGAGTAACAAACGTTAAGTGATACTGAAAGTTTCTATTATTGATGGACATTAGTATTGTGACAATCTGCAAGTTACCTTCCATTATCTGCGAAATTTATGTAAAGATATAGATTTAAAATGAATTAAGTATATACACGATTTTTATGCCTTCGAAATAAAAAATTATATCAAATCACAATAATTAATCGATTTTCACTGGAAGGTGTATCCAAATCATTGTTTAATTTCTAATAATAAAGGGCATTACATATATTCTATAGTATTACACATAAGTCCGTTGCGTATTATCAATTGTAAACGACGATAAACAATGAATTGCTTTATGAAATATTGCTGTGATTGCGCGCGCAAACAATGAAGAATATATAAATTATACATAAAGATCTTTCTCTGCTATATTCGTGGCTTGCTTCAAATAAGTGCTCTTTTAATCGTATAAAAATGACGACGAAGTATTTTAATGACTTTACCTCAATTTTGCAAGTAGTATGAGAGAGAAGAAAACAATTTCCATGCGAATTCACAGATCCTTTCTTCTCTCCTCTTCATGTACATGCACATACATTTTATCAGCTTTATGTCACGATATAAAGCGATTCAATTCGTGAGCGATCTTATATTCAATATTGTTTTAGGTCTGATCTTATTAGATGATCTCTTAACCATCCGTCACCCCTCTGGGTCTTTTTCGAGACAAGCGAAATTTTGAGCTTATCAAATATCTCCGAAATAAAGAGAGGGCAAGGTCTGGCTTCTTTCTCTAAAAAAAGTTGTTAGTAGTGAGAACTCACTCGCCAAGAGACGCCAGAATTCGGCAGGTTGGACAAAATGGACCCAAGGGAACATCGAAAACGGTAAAAATAATGGTGTTCACGGAGGGTTAAGATTCATCCAGCTATTGAAATGACTATATAATATTTCGAGATTTTCTTTAAGACAATTAAAAAAAATAGACTATGACAACTGTTCCTATATAGAAACAATGTATGTTATATGTGCTATATGTACATACATATATGCGTTTAAAGATTCTTTTGTACGTATTGTATATGAAAATTCTGAAACATTTGTTTACTTATGTGCTCATACGCTTATGCGTTCATAAAAATGACGATTCTGACATAATACAAATTCTATCCGAGAAGAAAGGAGTACGAGAATACCTAAGCGTCCACAAATTCTGGCTTTATTTAAATAAACTTTTAGCTAGAGATACAATGATAAATTACCATTACCTTTAATGGCACCCAAGAGGAAATACGTTAATATATATTGTAAGTTAAATTTCAATAAATCTTAATAAGATCAACTGTGTGTATTGCAATGAGAGAAAGTATATACAGGCGGTCTCCATAGAAATGCCAATTCTGAAATTACCGAATAATTAAAGCTGTAGAATGCAAAGATATTAATATCTTTGGAATATTTTTTAATATATTCTATTTGCTTATAATATCTCGTCTCTCTTGCTTCAGTCAATTTTTTGCAAAAACTTTGAATATATAATTTTTAATGCTTAATAATTCGTTTAAGTCCATATTGATTTCTTACTAAAATAAATTTACAATTGTAATACTTAAATTCTTTCTTTTTCTCTCTCTCTCTCTCTCTCTCTCTCTCTCTCTCTCTGTCTCCACGTGTATCGACTCTTGATATAAGACATTTGTATATATTAACTCATTTTTCAGAATGAGCAATATAACAGACGGCATATATGAAATGACGTACATAACGTTGTAAAAAGACCGTAAAAAAAAACAGTAAAAATTATCGATGATATATGTGCAACGTAAAATGCTAATCAGTTTAATAAACTAAGTATAGGTTCTCTTAAATAAATTAAATAAAAAATAGTGAGAGAGGCAATCGAAGCCATGCGCGGTAATTATTACGCAATCAATATATAGTCAATAAGATACTTTAGACGTTTCGACACTTCTTTTGCGTCGGTTATTTGTTTTTTCAAAGTATCAAATATCATTATGGACCTCACGCGGTCAAATCGTTCAAGCTTTGGATCAAATATATAATAAAGTCCTTATCAGATGCAATCTTAAAATTGAATTTTTACGCAAATGTATCAGATACGACATTGCATTTTTCTGTTCTGTAATGCTCCAAAGGACAATCGAATTTGAATCTCTCCTTTCTTCCTGGTTTTCCAACCTGGGAGTTAAGCGTCGAAGATGTGATCGATTCGGAGCAATTGCATACTGGCATATCTATGGCCTGATAGACTAAGTACCGAACGTTCGTATGGTTTTTATTATTTTATTGATTTGATTGCGCTTGTCGACCGATCGACTAATTCTTCCTTCTTCATCTACATACGAAGTTTTAAACAAATTATGTTCTTCATTTTTCAGTATTGTTTTAAAATCCATTTGCCAAATGTATAAACGTAAATTATTTGTCGTGTTGTGTATTATACAAACTCTGAGGACGAGCGTGGCCTATTAGACAGCGCATTGGTCTATTGAGCCAAAGGTCCCGGGTTCGATTCCCGGTAGAGCTAGAAAAATTATTAAAAAAAAAAAAAATTATATTCGCTCGTTCTCCTCTCGGAAGGCAATGGCAAACCACCGAGAGTATGTCTTGCCAAGAGAACTTCTCTAAAAAATATAGCCGTTCGAAATCGGTGTTAAACTGTAAACCCCATATACAATGTGTATAATCTACGTGCGCAACATATCTATACACGGAGAAAATTTTATAGTAAATATTACTATGGTGTCGCACTAGCTGCGGACCATCGAGGAATTTTAAGTTAAATTACTATGTTTATGGTAAAAATTACGTTATTTAATCGTTTTTAAAACAATAATTATAGTATTTTAACTTAAAATTCCTCGATAGTCCGCAGCTAGTGCGACACCATAGTAATAGTTACTATAAAATTTTCTCCGTGTATGAAGAGAAGTCACCCAACGGAGTTATCAAAAGGGTTAGCAAAAGGTTATCATATATATTGCCCTTTTGATAACTCGTTAGAAAAATAGATGTCCACAAAATCACTTATCGAGTTGTGTACAAAACGCGTTGGTTTATAGGACTGTCGAGAATTTTCTTCAGAACAAGAGATTCTTTAGTCGCTTTTGACCGTTAATCTTATATTTTTTGTAATTTTCATGTATATTAATTTTGTTTACACGCTGAAGATGACACAAAGAAAGTGTCGAAACGTCTAGAAAATCCGAGAATATCTATTGACTAATAAGTATATTATATTTTATTGACCATATATTAATTGCGTAATAATTACCGCGCGTGGCTTCGATTGCCCCTCTCACTGTTCCCTATTTGATCTAATCAGTTTACTTTAGCAATATTAAGTATTCAGCGTTAAATATGAAATAAAATTATATTTCCCCATTTCGCCATTCTACATCTCTTCAGTATTTTCCCAAAAAACGGTACATGGCTCGGGTAATTCGGAGTCGCAGTTGGGTCACCCAGTTCTGGTTGAGACTTTTTGAATGTACGAAGATGTTTTTATGTGTCTGTGAACGGTTCAATCCCCTCCACGACGACTTGTCCGAGTAACCGTTATTAATCGGTCAAAATGTTTATGAAACCGGTACTGCGTTACCGGTAACGCAATTGTGTCTCTTCTTCGGAGAATTCATACGTTTATTTATTCATTAATTCTGGGAATACCCCAGTCAATTCTATCTTTTAAAGATAGAATTTCCCTTGTTCTTCAAACTTTTGTTACTGAAATTGATCAGCTATAATAGCGTCTTCCCATGTAACGTAAATACAATCGAAATATGGAAGCTTCTATTTTGTAAAGTAAGTTGTATTCCACCGTAGAACTTGTTTTTTAATCTAAGGCCGGTATTCATAGTCGGTTCTTATATTTAAGACCGTCTTAAGTACAATTTTAAGATGTCAATCAATCACAAAGCAGTATTAGCATCTTAAGACATATTATTTAAGACGGTCGTAAATATAAGAACTGACTACAAATACCGGCCTAAAATTTGATGGGATAATTTCGTATATACATTAGTCTTAGGTGCGGCCTTTTTTGATGGGCCATCAAATTATCAATCATTTTGGAATAACTGTGAAGAACCTATCATTATTTGCGTTCTGAACGAGTTATCCTTGGAATTCTTAATTAGAACTTTAATATCGATGGA